GAGAGAGAGAAAGAGAGAGAGAGGCAGAGCCTGGGCCGTCCGTCAGCCCTCAGGTGGAGGGCTCCCAGAATTCCCCAGAAGTCCAGGTTATCTTAAAGGGGCCAAGGTTCACCAACCCTGGTCCAATCCAGCCAACTGTGTTGCAGTGCAGGATGGGTCTCCAAACTCGGCAGTTTTAAAGACTCGTGGCCTTCAACTCCCAGAATTCCCCAGGTGGCCGCTGGGGACAAGAGGCCAAGGTTCACCTTCAAGGGGCCAAGGTTCACCAACACTGGTTTAGACACAGCATAGGGCTGGAAGTTGCTGCCCTTGGTTCCTTCTGATAGGGATCCAAAGGCCTTTGGGGGATAACGAGTGAGGTGTGGCTACAATGAGGCCATCTATCTGTCTTGGAGGAGAGCAGAGAGGGGGGTGAGGGGGACCCTCCCCAAGCTGGCTCTGGCTAAATAACTCTGCAAGGCCCCTACAGCTGTTGTGCAAGGGCTAGGACCGTGATGGCGAAGCTATGGCCCGCGTGCCACCAGTGCCACCAGAGCTAGGACTGTGATGGCGAAGCTATGGCCCGCGTGCCACCAAACTTACCTGCATTGGGCAAGCGTGCGCCTCCCAGCTGATTTTGGGCCTGTTTGAGGCCGTTTTTGCCCTCCCGGAGGCTTGAGGGAAGCCTTTGCAACCTTTGCAGGCCAAAAAACGGGGCCTTCTGGAAATACCGGGAGTGCCAAAAGGGGCCCGTTTTTCGGCCTGCAAAGGCTACACGGGCTTCCCTCAAGTCTCCAGGAGGACAAAAACGGCCTCCTCCGGGCTCCGGACGCCCTCTGGAGGCTGAAAAGGGGCACTTCCGGTATTTCCGGAAGTCCGGTTTTTCGGCCTCCCGAGGCTGCAGAGGCTTCCCTCGAGCCTCCGGGAAAGCGGAAAAGGCCTCAAACAGGCCGAAAATCAGCTGGGAGGCACACGCATGCGGAGTGCAGGTAAGGGCGGGGGAGTTGCGTGCGCGCATGCCCGGGGGGGGCGGGGGGGGGTGTTGCGTGCGCGTGCGCGGGGGGGGGGGCGAGAGGCATTGCGTTGTGGGTGCCGGTGCGCTCTTTCGGCACACCTCAACACAAAGGTTCGCCATCACCTGGGCTAGGAGGTGTCTGCCCATCCATGACGTTGACACCACCAGAGATCAATACCTCCTCTAAAGACTCACCGGTGGATCTGAGGAGGGTGACCTTGAGGGAAAGCTGAAAGTCCCGGCAGGATGGATGGGGATAAGCAGAAGGGTCCGTGGTGGTGACTTCTTCCTCTCTCTCGGCAGTCCCCTCCCTACAGTTCTGGCAGCTATGACTCGGTCAAGACGGAGGTCAGCGGGTGTCCCGAAGACCTGACCGTGGGCAGAGCTCCCACCGCCGACGACGATGACGACGACCACGACGACCACGAGGACAACGACAAGATGAACGACTCGGAGGGCATGGATCCCGAGCGGCTAAAGGCTTTCAATGTACGGACCGATGCGTCCCCCGATCGCATGTGTCCCACGCCATCCCGTGGCGATGACGTCCGAGTAGCTTCTCGGTTGCGTGCTCGCCTGCAGGCAGAATCTTGCCTGGCTATCTATCGATCTATCGATTGTCTGTCTGTAATCTGTTATCTATCTATCTAATCTGTTATCTTTTATATCTTTTATCTATCCTCTCATCTATATCATCTATATCTTTAACCTGTTTTGTCTATCTTTAATCCGTTATCTCTCTGTTATCTATCTTTAGTATCTATCTTCCATCTATCTATCTATCTATCTATCTATCTATCTATCTAATCATCTATTTATCTACCTTCTATTTGTCTGTCAAGTCTATCATCTATCTCATCATCGTGTCTCTCACTCTCTCTCACACACACACCCCACATCTATCTATCTATCTATCTATCTATCTATCTATCTATCTATCCATCCATCCATCCATCCATCCATCCATCCATCTATCATCTATATCTTTAATCTGTTGTCTGGCTATCTTTGATCTGTTATCTCTGTTATCTATCTTTAATATCTATCTTCCATCTATCTAATCATCTATTTATCTACCTTCTATCTGTCTGTCTATGTCTATCATCTATCTCATCATCATGTCTCTCACTCTCTTCCCCCCCCCCCCACATATTTCTCTCTCTCTCTCTCTCTCTCTCTCTCCATCCATCCATCCATCCATCATCTATATCATCTATCATCTATATCTTTAATCTGTTGTCTGGCTATCTTTAATCTGTTATCTATCTAATCTATTATCTATCTTTAATATCTATAACATGTTTATCTTTAATCTGTTATCTATCTGTGATCTATCTTTAATATCTATCATCTATTTATCGACCTTCTATCTGTCTGTCTATGTCTATCATCTATCATGTATCTCATCATCATCATATGTCTCTCTCTCACACACACACACCCCCCACACATCTATCTATCCATCCATTTATCATCTTTATCTATCTATCTATCTATCTATCTATCTATCTATCTATCTATCTAT